AGCGCAATAAATAGGACTTCCCACAGGCACAGCCCAATTCTGAACAAAGCTTGACATTCTTCAAAACAGTTATATGACTAAATCTGTCTTGCATTGGCTCCAGTTAGATCGTGGATTCCTTGAAACTAATTGTAAGAGGCTTGAATATAAATAGCTTGAGTGCTATAAAGCTTTCAGTTTCCTCATAATCATCTCACGCTTCCAAAGTCCCATTTTGGCACAAAAGTTTTACCGAGGGTTTCATTAAGCATGTCATGCTGTCTATCGTCAATCGGTATATTTTCAGTCTCAATGATAAGAGTCCAAACTTCTGCTACATTTCATCTTATTATTCCATGAAACATTATGATTCTAGATTTTTCTCAATCATTTTTTTTCCCCGCGTAGAACCTTTCTACCCATATGCATTATGGTTATAGCCGTTTAAAATCGGCAATGGCAATTATCCCCTACTTCCCGTTTTATCTTCCCAAATTGCGCAATACACTTCACCAAATCTGCTCGGATGCTCTGTTTTTTGTGCTTTGCCACCATTCGCTTTCACTAAATTTTCCATTGACGATGTAAAAGCGGGAAGTGAAAAAGTTAGAAATCCCCAAATCCAGATGAGAACCTCGTGATGAAGCCATGCAGTCACGAATGCCTCGTCACGTTCTGCCTAGTACTGGCGGTTTTTGTGATGATGCAAATGGCGATGATTGCATTCTCCTATAATGGTATGATAGAGGATCGGATCAGTACATCGATCTCAAGTTATTCAACGATAGAGGACAGGTAACAACATATTTAATTAGTCGTTTTAATAACCAATCAATCATTCATTCATTCATTCATTCATTCAGAACCGAAACCCATCGCCTTCCCTCCGCTTTGATCATAGGAGTTCGCAAAGGTGGTACACGAGCTCTGCTCGATGCTATGGCTCTACATCCGAAAATTCGCGCAGTTCGCAAAGAAACCCATTTCTTCGACTTGAATTTCTCCAAAGGAATCGATTGGTATCGATCTCTTATGCCACTGAGCACCCCTGATCAGGTTTATGCCTAATTTTTCACAGTTTCTCAACAAAATTAACAATTGCCTACTTTTAGATAGTCGTTGAAAAAACGCCTGGATACTTTACCTCTGCTTCAACTCCGAAACGTGTACGAGAATTCAATCCTGCTATGAAAA